AATAGGAGAGAACTTTGATAAAAGCTGGAGGAAAAAGTGTAGATGGCTAAAAATATTCCCCTTCCTAGTTGTAATTGTTTTTAAACCTACTGGTTCAAGTCTCTCATATTTTGTTTAGATCTTTATACTCCAGATAACCACAGATAAGATTAGAATCCACATGCAAAAGAACCTCCTCAGGAAACAGGAAACCTCCTCAGGAAACAATCCATATACAAAAGAACCTCCTCAGGAAAGCTCCTCCATTAGCATGTTCACAGCCTGGGGAACGCCTACAAAATAATGACTCAGCCCGACCCCAGCTTCCTGAGTAGATATAAATCACCTGCCTACCATTTTTCTTCTCACATTGACACAGAGAGTACTCCATCTTTCTGTTTTATACCTCTGAGGATGCCAGTCACAGCTGCTTGCGAAACATCAGGTACTACAATGCCAAGACCACGGCCACACAACCCGGAAAATCTACAGCAGCTAATATTTATACTCCGTTTGTCTCTCCCATGGCACTAAACAGATTATTCTCTCCTTCTCAATTTTATTCTTGCAACAACCGCCCTGTGAGGGAGGTAAGGTTGAGAGTGTGTGACTGGCCCAAGATCACCCATTGAGCTTCCCTGGCAGAGTAGAGATTCGAACCTGGGTCTCCCAGCCAGATTCTAGTCTGCCGCTCTAACCACAACACCGCACCAGCTCTCTGTGCTTCTTGCGCTCATCCTGCTCCTTTCCTCCCTCCAGGTTCTTCTCACGTTGCTCCAAAATGCCCCTGATATGTTTGTCAGACTTCGAAGCTTATGCCAAGAAGCATCTCCCCAAGGCCACCTGGGAATATTTTGCCGCTGGGGCAGATGACTCCTATACCCGGGATGACAACCTCAGGGCATTTAAAAGGTACGAGGAACGATTACTCTTCACAGGGTATATCGTTCATTTTGGGGTGGACGTTCATAAAATGCCAGGCATTGGTGTCAAGCTTCCATTTGTTTCACATCATTCCGCTTCACCGCTTGCCATAATTAAGGGGGGAGGGAATTCCTGAGGGGAGTGCATGAGCGTTTGGAGTGCCCGCTTGTAGAAGCCATAACTTTCCTTAAGATTGTGCCCCATCATTGGTTCTCAAGGGAGCTGGCCTTGGAGACTCTTTCGCCAGGCCTGAACCAAGATAAGGCACCATATATCTGTCAGGGTTGCCATAGCTACCTTAGGGGCTGAATGATGACGTATGTGAGAGGTGTGGGATGTATTCTGTATTATCTATCATAGGGGCTTTTGCCTGCCTTTTTCTCAGTTCTGACATGGAGCCTGTTTTCCTGAAGTAAGCATATCTCAATAAATTACCACTGCTTAAGTGTGTTGTGGAGAGTGTCTTAACCGGGGAGACCTGACAATTGACCGGGTGGGCCAGTGGTGAAAGGGGATCTTAGCTTCACCCCCTCCCCAGATTGGCTCCAGATGGAGATTCCGCACAGAAATTCCATCAGAAATAATCCCGTGTTTCCCTCTTCGAAACAGATTAAAGAAGGTTTTCCTCTGACCTGGTTTAACACTGAAGTCACAAAAGAGGGAAGAGGCAAAAGAAAGGTTGGCCAGAAAGGGGTCACAGACCATTCCCGGGAGTGGGAAGCAGCACATGGGATTGGTAGGGTCCCCACAAACCAAAGGAAGGGGGAGAGACTCCCGGGTACTGTGAGGAGCTATTTAAGCTCGTGTAGCTAAGAGCCAAGAAGGGCAGGAGGCTGAAGTTGGTTCCTTATTCCCAGTTCCTTATCCATTCCTTATTCGTGACTTATTCATGAATTCAACCAAAAACAGAGGAGAGTTTGAAAGCTCTGAACCTCAAAATAAGGTCTGGACCAGGATTTCCTGCAGGAGCGCACAGGAGCGGAGCTCCAACAGTAAAGAGCTCAGGGGGCGGGCACATGCAGCAAGCCCCACGCCCTGCTCCCAGCAGCCCTCAGTCAGAGCATGAAGCAGCCAGGTAAGCTGCAGAGCTCTAGCAGTGCAAAACAGGCCAGCGGAGCCTGAGCGGTGGGTGTTGCCTTCTGACGCACTTCCGGTGATGTCAGGGGGGGTGGCATATGAAAATAAGTTATGCTAATGAGTTATGCTAATGAGCTCCTGCACCTCTTTTTCTAACCATATGTCATACACACCCACTTTCAGGGGACTCTCCAAGGGGACATATGGCACTTCCTGGTCCAAAACCTGGTTCTTGCGCCAGCCGCTCCAAAGTGAGGTGCCCCCAGGACAATCACACAGGCAGACATTGGGGTCAGGCTGCACCCCCCCCAAAAAAAAATCTTTTGACTTCCCCAACCCCAGACTGTCTCCTGCAAGGAGACATACAGCAGTGCCTGATCCAATCTCCTCCTCCTCCTCCACCTCCTCCTCCTCTTCTTCTTCCTTCAATGAATTTAAACATGGGATGAAAAACAAAATTAAAATAGAACAAGCTCTAGGTACAATTAAGCCACTGCATTCAATCTCTAAAGATACCGGATATGATGGCACGACCACTAACAGATCTAGAACACATAATTCGAGATTCAGATCAACTGTACAAAGGACTCATATCAAAGATGTACACAATATTGCTCCAAAAACCCTCCAAAGCTCTAATGGCTTATCAATATGCATGGCAGAAAGATTGCACTACGACACTAGATGAGGAAACTTGGTCTAAATTCTGGAATTCCACTAGCTTTTCAACTAGCTCTATTGCAGTATGTTTTCAAAATCTGAAAATAATGTCTAGACGGTACGCAACATGGGATGGCCTCCGTTTTGAGTGAGACCTAAGAGATTGTCAGATCCTCTGAACACTTCTTTGGGAGGGTCCCGGAAAATCCTGACTCTCAGCAACCAGCCCTGATATTTCAGCCCTCCGCTTCCCTCCACAGAATCCGATTGTGGCCCCGCATGCTGTGCGATGTTTCTGTGATAGACACCAAGACGACGATCCTCGGCACGGAGATCAGCTTCCCCGTAGGGATTGCTCCCACAGGTTTTCACAGGCTGGCTTGGCCCCGTGGGGAGAAGAGCACAGCCAAAGGTACGCCAGAGTCTCCTTGCTAGGAAACGTTGTGTGTTTGGGCGGGAGCTGACATGGATAATTCATCATGGGGAAGAGGGGGGTCCAAAACGAATACAGAAAGGGTTCCCGGCTTGGGAAAGCTGGGGGGCAGAAACTGGAGAAGGCAGAGTATGAGGAGCGGAGGCAGCTCAGTAGGGATGTGATGCCACAGAGTCCACCCATCAAAAGCAGCCATTTCCTCCCGGGGGAACTGATCTCCATAGTCTGGAGATCAGTTGTACTATTATTTATTGTATGGCAGAGTTACACGCAGGAAGCATCTAGTGCTATAAAAGACATCACCAAGTTAATGCAACGGGTATGCAGACCAATTGGGCAATGCCCCTAAATACTGATGTCTGAATTTTCAACCCACTCAATCGCAGCTGCAGGAAGTTCAAGGAGCTCCATCACATCTCCCCGGAAAGCACGATGCTCACATTCCTGTGACAGGTGGAGAATAGTTTTGCGGGCTGCCCCACAATCGCATTCGGGTCTTGCTGTTTTGCCCCATTTAAACAACAGGTCTGCACATCTGTCAAAATATTCTATTAGCAAAAAAAATAAAATAATATTCTATTAGCCGTCTCCAGGGGTCCTTTCCTGCGGGAGCGCACAGGAGCGGAGCTCCAGCAGTAAGGAGCCCAGGGGGTGGGCACACGCAACAAGCCCCGCCCCCTGCTCCCAGCAGCCCTCAGTCGGGCCACAAGGGGCAAGAAGCAGCCAGGTAAGTTGCAGAGCCCCTCCCCCCCGGCCCACCTTCAGGTACAAGCTCTCCCTCCTCTGTGAGGACAGATCTGCACATCCCCCCCCAATAGCTAGCAATCCAAAACAGTCCAGTGGAGCCTGAGTGGTGGATGTGGCCTTCTGACACACTTCCGGTGATATCAGGGGGTGTGGCATATGCAAATAAGTTATGCTAATGTTATGCTAATGAGCTCCTGCACCTCTTTTGCACTTGAAATTGCTACACTTGATGTGTCATGCTTGAGGGGGACCTTTACAAAAAAATTGATGGTGTGAAACGTGTACAACATTGTTATCTTACAATTATTTATATGCATTAATTGTTGCTATTAGTGCTGTATTTGTATCCTACAGCACCGTACTTTGCACCTTGTTTATAGGTCTGCTTGTGGCCGAGCTACTATTTTTATTGGTAGATCAGGCTGCCAACTCCAGGTTTGGAAGTTCCTGGAGATTTGGGGGTGGAGACTGGGAAGGGCGGGGTTTGAGGAGGGGAGGGACTTCAGGGGGTATAATGCCATAGAGCCCACCCTTCAAAGCCACCAATTTCTCTGATAACCTATCTGAGTCATCTGGAGACCAGCTGTGATTGTAGGTTCCGCTTGGAGCTTGGCACCCCTAGTCAGATGGCCTACAAGGCGCTCCCTTTCTCTCGGACTCTGTGACTTTGCCCCCTTCCCCCCATGTCTTCTGAAGCGGCAGAAGCCATGAACGTCTGCTACATTGCCAGCACTTATGCCACTTGCTCGATGGAAGAAACGGTGGCTGCGGCCCCTGCGGGCTTCCGCTGGTTCCAGCTTTACATTCACCAGAAGAGGTCAGCCTCCGTGCAGCTGGTGAGACGGGCGGAAGCCTCGGGCTTCCAGGCAGTGGTGCTGACGGTGGATGTGCCTTACTCCGGGAAGAGACGGGATGACATCCGCAACAGCTTCCACCTCCCGCAGCACATGTCGGTCAAGAACTTGGAAGGCGTCTTTGAGGTTTGTAAACTTCTGATGGGAGAGAAAGAGCTACAGACCAGCCCGGGGCTTCCTATCTCCCACTAGCGTTGCCAGCTCTGAGTTGGGGGAAATTCCTGGAGATTTGGGGGTGGGAGTGACCTTAGCAGCATGACAATGCTTTAGAAGGTTGACTCTGTAAACAGCCATCTTCTCCAGGGAAACTGATCTCTGTTGTTTGGGGATCAGTCGTAATTCCAGGGGGGGGCACAACAGTGGGAGGGCTTCTAGTGTCCTGGCCCCACTGGTGGACCTCCTGATGGCACCTGGTATTTTTGGCCACTGTGTGACACAGTGATCAGCTGCCTGGCGGGGGGCGGACTTACCCCGAAAAAGAGGGAGTCTACGTCACTGCCCTTGTGATCTGGAAGTGATGTCATCACATCCGGGTCGTCAGGATGATGCTCTGGTATCTGGGCCAAATTTACCATAGAGTTTTTGCTTGAATATCGGAGCATCACCCTCGACATCCCGGACGTGATGATGTCACTTCTGGGTCACATCCCCAGCAGAAGGGAGGACCATCCAACATGGACATGTTGCTGTACGTTGGATGGGCCTCCCTGCTGCTTCCAGTAAACCCCCCCCCCCATCCCCACCAGTTGCCAGGAAGGACCTCAACCACCAAGTGGGACCTGGAGTTCTCCGAGAATTACAAGTGATCTCCAGACTACAGAGATCAGTAGTGCAAATGTAAGCTTTGGATGGTAGATTCTATGGCATTACAACCCTGCTAAACTCCATCCCCTCCCCAGGCTCCACCCCAAATTTCCAGGGATTTCTCAAGCAGGAATTGGCAACCCTATGCCCAGCATACCCCTCCCCCACTCTGATTTGCACAAGTTAATGCTAGAGTTGCCAGGTCTAATTGTCACACCAGTGGGGGAGGGATTTTCTGGAACTGGGGAGGACCGTTGCAATGTGCATACACAGGAAGTGATGTAGGCACATCAGGGATGTCGGGGGCGATGCTCTGGTTTTGGGGCAAAAACTATGGTAGAATTTGCTTCAAATCATAGAGTTTGTAAAAAGGATCCCTTGAAAGGAGAGAGCCTGAAAACCCGTGGCCTTATGGGTAAAGAGACGGGTATAATCAAAGTGCTGGCCAGCTCTTGCAAAACATGAAATAGAGAACATTTCCAGACTTGACCCCAGTATGTATCAGGAGAGGGAAGTAGAGTTAGAAGGATCTCAAAGGGCCAATATGCCAAAGTCTGGCATGAGGGGAGAACATTTAAGAAGAGAAGGAAGAAGAGATTGGATTT